TATGTACATTTTGCATTACTTTAACCCTTTCGCTGCAGCGAATTTTAGTACACAACGAGCGCAGCAGATTAAGATGTTCCACACTGCCGCAAAATTGTCTTTTTCGGCCGTATCATTTTAAAATTTGTTTCATTGAATGAACGTGGAAGAGTGCAGAGGATAAAATTAAGGCTTAAATTAATATGAAAGTGTGCCAAGAGGCTCCAATAGCACAATGCGAACAAATTTTCAAATATAGGCAAATATATAAAATTGAAAAGATTCGCCTGTAATGTTATTCTGTTAATTTTGATATCGATACAATTTTTAACGAACAGTATCGGTACGAAACAATAAATTCAAAAGGAGAAAAGAAAAATCTGTACGTTGAAAGACTTCGATCCTCTTACCAAGGAGTTTACTTCCGAACGGAAGAAGCCCCCCGAATCTTGAGGCTGCGGCCGCACGATGAATCTCCTTCGTTTACTCACACCGACTATGCAGCACAGTTTGTTACAATGCTAGATGATGGTGTTTTGTTCCGTAAGAGTACACCACAATGAAGTGTAACCCAAGCTCACCCTATAGATGGAGAACGTCTTACGCTGGAGATCGAATTACGCGTGCATACGTGCAGGATTTTTGATTCACCCCCATCCAGGCCTCGAGAGTTTCCCGAGAAGAAATTTGATGTCCCGCTCTCCTAGAAATTCGATTACCTAAATACGCCAAGGCGGTAAAAACGATAGAAAGAGAAAGGGAAAAATTGAATTAACGTTTTATAATTGACAGTTACAAAAAATTCACCTGATAATCTTAAATACGAAGACTTGGCATGTTTTAATTTGTCAACTTTTTTCTTGAGTTTTAACGTCACGTCAACTGCTCATGCATGATTATTAGCGACGATGATTCGGAGTAAACATATTTCGGGAAATTAGATTTTACTATAGAACATTAACCCTTCGACAGCTTATCCCGTGTGAGACTCGGACAAAGCGTGAAATATTTAACTGTTTAACTCAAGAGAAACTCTTAGGAAGAAAGTTAAAAAGGGACGAGATATTATTGTCATAATTATGACGTAGGGTTGCGTATCCCTTGTTTTAAAAATGATCATAATCGACGTAATTATTAAAAAAATACGTGTGAAATATAAACCTTTTTTACCGGAATTCATAATTTTATTAAACTGTCTCTTGTGAAGGATAATCACTTTCAGCATTTGTCGATGATCACTGAGATTTTCGTTCAAAGTTTGTTTAATTTGGAATTTCGAACGAACTTCCGTATAGTTAGGGCAGATTAAAAGAATGTGCCTGCCAATTTTTATTTCGACATGTTTGTATTCATTTGTGGCGTTATGAAAAATTGCAAAGATAAAAATTGACGAGTCTAAACTCTACGAATTTAATTGTGCTCGAGATAGTGGCGTGTTTGGTATTTTTTTGATAATAGTATTTTAATATAACAGTGGCATTAATTTCACAATTTCGTAGAATTATGCACATTTAAATTCCTTATATTTTTAATACAATTTTCAAATGTAATAATAGACAATAATAGTATATAAATAACAATACATGATTTGAACTGTTTATTTTGAAAATGGGGCAAGTCCATTTTTTTGTTTTAACTATAGATTCTTCACAGGCAAAAATATATTAAGTTCTATCTACTGTTATCATTAACTTCATTTTTTTTTTTAAATAGTCTTGTTCCACTTTCAAAATAAACGGCTCATTTAGTGATAAAAAGTGTAGAGTATTTTCCACGTAAAGATTTTAATCTTGATCGCCTGATTGTGATGTAGTAATACGTTTAATTTTTTACGCAAACATGTAATACCATTGTGTAAGTACGTTGCGCTGTGCATATTGCATATTAATAGGCACTCTTGCAATGATTCATAAACTGGTTTTCCTTTGAAGTACTAGATTTTTAGTTTTACTTCAGAATGCTAACGTACACAGAATTGCTTTCTCCATAAATTATGGTAAAACGCTGTGAAAAATTATTTGGTATTATTTGAAATTTCCGAATGAAAGTTCCATAAAATAGCATAAGTATTGTTTACTAAAAAAGATATATCATAGAACGATTTTGAGGAATTTCAACTACTCATGTATGTATGTGGAACAGCAGGTAGGCGCAAACTTACTAAACAGTTTAGCAATACCTACTTTGAAGAGTCTAATATAAATGTTCATCGATAAAAGAAACATTGTATCCAATATTTTCAAATTTTTTAGCTGTATGCAAAGTTTCATCAAAATCTGCGTATTTCAATTCGGTGATCTTGTTTGCGAGTCCAAAGCTAAATAATATATGTTGCGGCTGACTTTCTTCGTAAAACTTTCTATGTATGTGCATATACTATCGGCCAAAAGTTTGGAATCACTGTACATTGCAAGTTGCACAAAAATTTCCAGAAAAAAGTTAGCAACTTTAATTAACAAATTATTGAATTTTGTATCGTTCAAATCAATCGATACGAGGTAAATTGCTATTGATCTTCACACCATCAATTTCACATCTATAAAGAATTAACAGTAGATTCAGTATTGATAAAATTGGCAGGTGGTCCCGAGTAAAAATGCGCTTAATTAAAAATAGAAACTTGCATGGTATATTCTAGTATTAATAAATTATTCTGTATTGTTAATTGTGTTACTTATGTTAATATGTAATTATCTTACCTTTTTTTGTAGCAATTTTATGGTTTCACCTTAGAGTATTTTCAATGTTACGTTAAAATTTTCTAAAATTTGTTACCTTGGGTTTACGTTAATTTGTTAACTGAGAAAGAACGTAATAATTATTTATTCAAAATTACAATTTTTACTGATTTCTAATTGTATGAATATTCGAGGGATTGATTTTCTGACTGAGATGTAAACCCATTCAACAGGTTGATCGTTCAACAGATTGAATATTCTTTTATTTAAGTGTGAGATTCACGACATAGGGTTCATGTCACGTTTCATAAACAGCCACGGGTGGCAAAGATGATTTCAATCAATTAGGGACACGCGCCTGAATCAATTACTTACCTCCCGCTGATTTCGTGGTTTATTGGGTGCTTACTAACTAAACTACACGCTCGTGTCACTGCTTGTTCACTGATAGATTGAATCTTTTACATCTACCTAGAGAATCTGATTTTCGACAGATAGGAGATAACAAATTTAAGCAAAAAGAAGAAATAGAATTTCAATTTGCATATCCGTAAATCGTGGAAAATATAATAAATACTTAGTTCAATTTGATTTTCTTTCATTCACTCTTGCACAACTTGTAATGTGTCATCGAAAAAGATCTTGATGATGACTTACGAGATCTAAGAATTTCCGCTTGAAATGAATCATCTCGTATCGTCTAGAAGATCTTGTAATATTAACGAGGATAAGTAGCATTTCAGGAAAAGCAAAGCGGGAAAATCTTATTTGTTCGAAGATTGTTTAAAATGAGAAACCAAATGTGACTAAATAAAAAATGTCAAATACAAGTATTCTCAAGTGAAATATGTATGCACTTATAGATAGAAGTACATCTTATAATTTAATCGAAGTTATTCTTTATTTACAAACTTTGATATATTTTTATATAATGTTATATAAAATTAAGAATACTTTGTAATCTTTGACTAACTGCTGTAATTTTGTGGATATTTGCTTAAAAAAATGTTTTAAATATCTAGGCTTTAAAAAATACTTACATTTTAAGATATAAGTTGCAAAATAATTTAATAGATATTGTAAATGTTTTTTACAGTACATGCATTGTTGTCATGTTTCTTACTCTTATTTTATTTTCTCCTTCATAGATATGTATGTGTGTCAATCTATTATACGTGTGTTATATTTTATTTCTAAATTATAGTGATAATTAATTGATGTTGCTACTTGTTGAAAAATAAACTGTTACTTGATACTTGTTACAAATATTATTGCTTAAAATAGAGATATGTCTGATAAATGAACTCCTGGGAAGGGGTAATCACATTTTAGTAGCAACAAGTGTATTAAGTAGTATAAATTAATAGTTTGAAAGGGTCTAGCAGTATAAGATGGTCAAAAGTATCCTTGAATCAATTAGGTTGTGCGATATACGTAGGTTGTGTATTGACACCAAACTATGTGTATAATATTAAACATTTCTGCAATTTTGTGTAAACATACTAACAAAGTAATAGTTGCATCTTCTACAGATACTAATCATTTCTATCCACACAATACACTTAATCTTTCTCATTATGCATACATAAACACTTCTAATTACATTTACAAATAGTATTCCGGGTGAGTCACCTAAGATTACAACGTGTCGATTGAATCAATTAATGCGTTCACCTAAGAAAAAACTAATCACGTCAAATTATGTCTCCCTTGATATTATTCAACTTTTGTCCAAAACATATTTCGATATAATCGACAGTTTCGAAGATATTTCAGGTTCTAATCTCAACTCATCCTGTATATTCAATTCTATTTTGTAAGCATATATGAAAAAATGATCCGAAAAGAGAATCAAATTTATGTGTTACCAATTTGGTAGACATAAATATCCATCGCTATTCAAAAATAATTCTGAACACTGTAAAATACAAAATTACCGAAAATATAATTTTATGTAAAATGTAAAACTAAATCAACCGAAGAGAAGGGAAAAATAAATCTAAAATTTGTAATAATTAACAAGCCATGTTAGAAGCTACGTAAGATTTGTTATTTGAATCTTTGCGAAGTATTGAAGCGTAGATTGGATGATCCATCGAATGCGAGGCATCCTTGTCAATGGCCAGACGGAAAAGGATCGTACGGATTCGCGTGATCCGGAAGGCGATATGCAGGTGGAAGGATGTGAGGATAAAGTGATACTGCGATCGATGAGTGTCTGATCGGCTTGGCAGGAAGCGTGGATGGCACGGAGAGGATCGAGGAAGTTACGAAGCCGGAATGCGCGCCAGTTCACGGCAGTCGCGCGTGAACCATCGAGTTGAGCGGTAGGTTTTCGCGCCGGTTCCTGCTCATTTCTCCTCGCAATTATACAGTTTATCGGCACGCCTCTGCCTCGAAACCTAACAGTCGAATGTTTCTTTCTTCCGGACGGTCATTTTTTGTGTTATCGTGATCCGTTTTTCGTCGATTTCTCGATCATCGTGGAATTATTCCGCTAACTTTTGGGACGTTTTACCATAGATCAGGCAACCCTCTGGTGACTATTGGCGGTAGGTAGATGTTACACGTTGTTTGAGATTTTGTATTAAGCGTAGAAATGAATTCTTTCCGACTTTTGGGCGCGATCGAAGTTTTATTTAAAAGGAACAAAAACAGATCAATTATCGACGTAATTTCCATCGTTGATGATCTTTTGCCATTTTTCTGGTAGCTTGCGAATATCATCGCGATAGAAACTTGGTGGCTTTGCATCAATTATGCGAATCCAGTCGAAAAGAATTTCTGCATCTAATATAGGAGGTAATTTGAAAACTGAAATTGTCGGCTGTACGTGGAAAATTGTTCATATGCAATTATTTCCGTATAGATTGCTATTTGATAGAGTTGATATAATGTGCATAATTACGTTTGATTGATTATGTAAATTTTGCAAGAGTATTGCGATCTTTGGTGTTGCTCATTTTATCTAACCGGTGTTTGAATAAATCAAGTTAAATTTGACACTGTTTATATATTTACATTTGAAGAATAAAATATTTTCAAATTCTGGCCAACAATATTTGGGGAATCGAATAATTTGTATAAATTTTTCAAGAGTATTGCGATCTTTGGTGTTGGTTATTTCTGGTATCCTATTCCAGTATTTTACATTTGGAGCTCTTTTAAAGGACAAAGTATTTTCTAATTTGTATGCATGAATTTTATGTATAATAATTAAACCATCAACCTTTAACATCTTGTTAAAAGAAAAAATTTAACTGTAATTATGAACAATTGTAAAACGAATTGTAATTGTAATTTTTTAATAATTTTGCAGTACAGTGTTACTGGAAATAATAATGATCTAATGGATTGAAGCTTTACGTATTTTGAGAATTCTTTTCTTTTCAAGTTGAAATTTGTTTAGTAATATTTGGTATATCTCAAAACAGCATTTTGAATTAGTGATAATAAAGGTGTTTTGTACTTAAAAATGAAGTAACAAAAGTGCTATAAATTAGTATTCAATTTAAAAACACGCTATTAAAAGGTAATAAATAATACACGAGAGGTTAGGAAAGTACAAAATTGTATTAAATTTCTTTTCCTCTTATTTTCTTAGCATTTGCCAAAGTAAAACGTATCACTGTACAATATCAGAACAATGATATTATTACATATAGTATATATATATATATGTCAAAATTACTAATATTTAACAGTGAAAAATATAATTTCAATGTTAAGAAGCACCAAAAAAAAAAAAAATCAAAATTAAAAATGAATAAACTTTGCAAAATAACTGTAGAATATGATTTCTTATTTTATTTACACAGTATTTTTTATATATTTGTAGTGTAAACGAGTGATAGTAGAGGTAAAAGTTTTAAATTAACTTTGTAACGGTTGTTGCGACATTTAGCGCGGCAAAGAATTCTTGAGAAGTTTTCAGAGTATATAATTGACATGCCGCAGGCATTTTGCCAGTGTGTTCTGATGCGAAGAAAGGAAACTACGCAGCCGTCTATACTTGCGCCTCTGTAAACATTCATAATCGTTGCTGTACAATTCCGGTATAATAATTATTATTGCACAAGAAAAATAAAAGTAAGGGGGCAAATGTATTTATAAAATTCCAGTTCTTTCGAAGGTGAATAACACTGTTTTGTAATGTACATTTCTTTTGAGAAATATTAAAGGGTCACTTGTTTTTGCTTTCTTCCTTCGAGATTACGTGTACTTTGATTATTTACAGTACTAAGGCAAAGTTTATTTTACTTCTATTATGTACTGTATAAGAAATAAAGTGGAAATAAGTATCTTTTAATTTATTTAATTTACTGATTGAAAGAAGCAATATTTTCTTCTTTATCAACATTATTCTTATCTCGAAACACATATAAACACTTATAAAACACACTATAACATTGCAATATTTTATTCTATTTTTTAATAATCGTATATTTAAGCATAATTTAGTGATATTTATTAAAGTGAAATTAGTGTTGTTAAAATAAAATTTTTGTACAGTTAGCTCATTTTGTATCCTATAAATTTATACATAACGTATTTTATGTTTAATACAGACATAATAGTGGAATTAAAAATAAAGAATTCTACAATAATGAAGCTATTGTGTTCTAAGTATTGATATTCCAATAACGAATTAACAAGTCCTTCTGAGTTAACACAGTAATAGATGTGATTCATCATTGTATGAAACATCTAGGTTGAAAGGCACATGCTACATAACAGAACACAACCAAAATATCAATATGGCTTGTACCTCTGTATATATTGTACTAAAATTTAATAATTAGGTTTCTCAAAAGTTTCTTCAAAAGTAATATA